CTTTCTGGAGTATCGACGTGTACCCTCTAACATGTTTTATTGACAAACAAAAACACCTTTCCCTAAACTAAAAAAAAGAAAAATCATATCGAGGCGTCACACAAGATCCTCGTCACACATCTAGTCACTTTGAGAATGCCTGTCCTGTGGTCACACAACGGCGATACCACATGAGTACCCCCACCATACGCCTATTGTCACACACATGAGTCATTTGTGATGGACATGACGCTGTGACCATCGTCACACACTCGCTAGTGTCGAGCAGCAGAGGCCGGGGATAATGTGAGGTATTCGTCCTTTGAGTAGCGTGAAAATAAAGTAGGTGTTCATTGTTCATACCCCACCATGTCGAGTCATAGTGGCCTACGGAACGAGAAAGGTGCAGGGGGGGCTCACAGCTTATAGAAAACTTGGTTTCACTCAGCAATACCCCACCTTTTTGTCTTTCTTTTCTTTGCTGGTAAAATTGCAGCTTTACAGCAATCAAGATTCAAATCATTTATTGCTTAGCCATCCAGAGATGAAAATCATACAGCTGTGTAAGTGGTACAAACGTACAATACAGGGTGCCATCGTGAATATTTTCACCCATAATCATCGCTACATCGGGTCGAACAAAGTCGAAAGATTAATTTAACAAGGCTTATGCACCCCCCCCAACCCCATGCAATCCGTGCGGGTGGGGCGGAGCGTCTGTCCATGCGTCCCTAGAACCCAGCCCCAGCGCCCAGCGCGCTGCGAGGGCAGCGGCCGGGGCTCTGGTGTAGAGGGCCCCCGAAAAGGGTGGGGGAGGGGAGGGGGGAGGGGCTAAGAGGGTGGGGGGAGGGGGCACATAGGCGTGCCGCGGCCTTGACCCCCCGTCGCGCTCGCCGGGCCACACCTCGCCGAGGGTGTTCGTGAGGTGGAGGGGTGGGGTGGGATTTTGTTTTCGCTTAGCTCGCTTAATCAGTGGTTTTATTTGAGCGGGCGTGTTGATTATATCGCGTTTACAAATCTATCCATACAATATCACTGTTATCTCAAGTGCGACAATTTTCATACAATTTCATACGATAAGAGCCCAAATGCGATTCCCACAAAAAATTGCACCTGAGGGAGCATCAAAAAATTATCGGACTCAATTGACTAAATCCGCCATTGTATTAAGTGCGATAAGACATTTTTTGCGACAATTTATATTTGCAACAAAATGTGTTAAAATTATCGCATTCAATGCAATGACGAATGTAAATTTAGTGCAATTATTTCCAATCGTAGCAAAATGTATAAGAGTTATCGCATTTGATGCAATAACAAATTATTGCAGTTAGTTTTGTAGCCATCATTCCATCGAGGATCACATTAATGGCTTTAAGGTCCAAACGGACGTAAGTCCTAAACGCTCCCAAAATTTAGCGTGCGTGTTGTTTGAACACGCATTCAGGATGGTTCCAGTTCCAATATTGTCGAAACTGTTTTCTGTAAATGTCAATAATTCCTATTTGTATTTCTGGTGCGAACATTTTATTTGCTGCAGCTGCTAACCCAGACATCATCTGGTCAGTGGTCAGGCCCTCAATGAAATAAAGTTGGTATACGCTGGGCAAGAGTATTTTTTACTGATGTCCATGAGTGAGTGGTACAAACCTTTGGCAGAAGGGCGGGGGGGCGGACGACCTGGAAGCTTTCTCGAGTAAACTACTACTGGATACCGGCAATAGAAAGGAGTGATACGACAGTAACCTGATGAGCTGACTACTGGCTAGTGATAGGCGCTGCACCGTAAAGCACTGACCGGGACCAGGCGCTGGTGAAAAGTAACTGTCAATACAATAGTCTCACTTTTTCATAGCTACTTGATTTACATTTTTTTATAACTCCATTGTTCACGTATGTTTTTTTTAATGTGATTTTTTTTAAGGACGAGCATTGCCAGAGTATTTTCCCAGATACTCCCACTGACAAAGTGCCTCTCAAGCTCGTACGGGAAAGCATTGCGTTTCTTTATACGTATTCTACGTACACGCTATTCATCGACAACACAACAGATTCATGCTGTTTTTCACGACTTTTAATTATCTTGCGTTGATTCTCATGCTATAATTCGCGTGATCAGGGACAGCTGTATACTCTGTCAAGTCCAGGCGGACGTGGGGTGGTTGGTCAGGCGGTCAGGGGGCCCAGGAGGCGGTGAGAAGCGCGTGTGCCAACCACTACATCTAGTCCTAGGGCTTGGCCACGGCTCGGCACGGCTAGAGCCCCAGAGGTCGCCTGGGGGGAGCCCCGGGGAACCCGAAGGGAACCCGGCAAGGGAACCCTAAGAGAACCCCATCGGAGCCGCCCGGGCCCCTGGCAGCTGGCTAGGCTTGGTTGGCATGCCTGGTGGGCTGCCAGGTTGCCTGTCGAGAGGCCGAACTAGGCGGACCTCAAGGTCCCAAAGGGTGTGATTCAGTCTACAATGCAGCGCTGCGGTGAGTTTGCCACTCTCAGACTAACGCAGTGCTAAATGTTACCACCTACGGGTGCAAGAGAGATAGAGAGAAAGAGTGAGAGAGAGACTCTCGCTACTGATTGTTTTACTAAAAAAGGAAGGCAGAAAGGTTTCAAGCAAATGTAAAAGGAATGAATGCGTTTACAAGATGTGCTAATATAATTTACGGTTAAGTCACAAGTGTGGCAAACTCTCCCCATGGCGCTACCTAACTATATTACGTAAAGGTTTTTTTCTGGGGATCGAGTGCACTTAGGTGAAGAATAAGATGTAAGAAATGTGAGGTAGGTGGAGTAACGAATTTTTCTTAAAATCTGAATGCTTAGCCAAAAAATTGCAACAGCAGTTTTGTAGTTTGCTGCAGCTGCACTTGCCTTGCCGCTTTTAAAAAATAATATCCGTGAGATTTACGTACATGAATCAAAACTATTACTAGTTTTTAAAATTCCAATCACATTTTTTTTACTTCGACTGCATTCCAGTGCCACTTACAAAATTAGAATTTATTTACTGTAAAAAGTTAATAAAATTGAGATGCGGTTTTGAGAAATAACCGAGTCTTAACTCCACGATGCTGGCGGTCGCTGCCTCCCTGGCGGACCTACCTGGTGAGCCCTGCGACCCATCAGCTCGTGGATGGCCACCACGATCTCGGTGAGCTCAGAGCGGGTGATGCAGCCGTCGCCGTTGATGTCGTACAGCTTGAACGTCCAGCGGAGCTTCTCGTAGATCGAACCCCGTAGTAAAGTCGACAGCGTGACCAGCAGGTCCTGTGGGGCAGAGCACGTTGAGCGTGGCTGAAGCGTGACCGGCGCGCGTTCTGACCGGAGCGTGACTCACCCTAAACGTAATGGCGCCGTTGCAATTGACATCGAAGGCCTTAAAGACGTAGTGAGCGTAAAGACTAGAATCTGAAACACAGTGACGGACAATTAGAGCAATACGCTCAACTAATTATTGGCGTTTTGTCGCTACTTTCACGATACGCTTTACATTCAAAAAACAAAAAACAAAAACAAAAAACAACACAATAGAGTCTTATAGGTCAAGTCTTAATTATTAAATGTTGTCAAAAACGTACTCCCGTGTGGGAAGAATTTGGCATAGATGTCCTTGAAGGCGTCTTCCTGCACGACTCCCTCGGGACATTCCTGTAACAGAGAGGGTGAGCACGGCGTTAGCTAGAGAGCGACTATGATAGCGCCGCACACGTCCACTGCGAGGTTCACTGTCCTCGCGCTGGCACTTCGTGGCTGCAACGCGGCTGCACTTGGCAGCCGGGGCCGGGAGCCCCAACAAAGAGTAGGGCTGCCCGGCGACCAGCGTGCTGAGCCGGTGAGCTCTCTCTCCAGCCATGCGGGTGCCGCACACGGTGCCGGGCAGCGCGCTCAGGGCCTTCGCGGCCGGCGAGGCCACGCACCGGCTGCACGGCGAGCAGGGCCGCCGGCTGCGGGCAGAGGACCCGCACTGGGACAGCGAGCTGGGGCCCAGGTAAGCAGGTGGCAGAGGGAAGGTTGCACAGGACAGTTGGCAAGTGGTAGAGGTAAGGTGGCACGAGGTGGCACCGGACAGAGGGCAGGTGGCAAGTGGTAGAGGGCGGGTGGCGAGGGGCAGAGGCCAGGTCAAGTGCACTCTGCTTGTCAACGGGGTGCAGGCTGTCTGCCCTGGTGCTGGAGGCGCTGGCCGTGCAGCCGGACGCGCCGGCGCTGCTGGCCGCGCTGCATGAGGCCGGCGCCGAGCACGCCCTGCACCTGCTGGAGCTGCTGCCGGTCGACCTGCCGCTGCGGGGCGCGCTGCCCGCCGTGCCCGAGGGCGAGTACTGGCGGCGGCGGGCGGCGGCCGCGTGGCCCGACGAGAGCCTGCTGCCCCCTGTGCCCGGCGGCTGGAAGCGGCTCGTGGCGGAGCGCAGCGTCCAGGAGCTGCTCGAACGCCTCGACCCCGAGACCGCCGACCCCGACGACCTCCGCGACGAGCTGCAGGCCGCGGCTCCCGAGGTCAGAGCAGAGTTTATTGGCTGAGCGAGTACACCCCTAATACTGCCCAATTCAAACTAATTAAAACCAATTAAATGCATTTTTTTTTAAATCAGAAATAATTCACTCTAATTCAAATTCAACTCTCCAATTCAATTCAACTCCAATTCAAGCCAATAAATTCAATTCCAGCCGTTTTAAATTCAATTCAAACCAATTCAAATTCAATTCAAGCCAAAACAAATTCAATTCATCAAATTTGTGCACCCAATTCAGGAGTTATGTACCGCTCGAGTGAATGCGTGCCTTAGGTCATGAGCGTGCGCCTGCGACAGCTGCGCCGCGCCGTGCCCGTCGAGATACCGGACCACCCCGCCGACACCTACGTCCCGGACCCGGGCTACAGCGACCACCTCGACTTCGGGCTGGTGCTCGACCACCTCAGCAACCTGCAGGTGGGTGTGGAGTGGGGTAGCATGAGGTGCGATAGCTACAAAGCGCCCCCCTCTGGGGAATCAACTTTCCTCGTCTCCCAATGGCAGATCAGCGCGAGGAGGGACCAGCGAGCCCCGGGGGCACCGAGGGGGGCGGGGGAGGGGGAAGGGGGCAACCGAAATACAAAGAAAAATTCCAAAATATACATTTTAGGACGCAAATAAATCCACAGAAATACATCCGAACACACGTCAGAAATTCAAGAAAGAGGAAAGGGAAATATAGGAAACACACACGGGGAGCGTAAACATAAATACGCGGAGCTGCCCTCCTCCCCCCTTGACCTGTACTATACCTAGAATGGATTTCAAACCTCAAGGCATCCAGGGAGAAGAGGGAGGGAGGTGAACCTCTTTTTATTGGCGACGACACTATGCAGCTGAGTCTTGTGAAGAGCTGCGAAAGCTTCAAAGCGCGGGTGCACCGAAACGGAGCGGCTGCGCTGCGTACAGTTGTCTGTGTTTCTGTCTGTCAGAGAGCCAGGCCTAACGATCCCCGAGTAGGTCGCCCGCGAGGCGCAGACGGGCGGACAGACGAGCTCCGCTCCCGATGGGGAAGAAAAGAGCATGGCGAGAGCCGCCCCCCCCCCCTCGTTACGGTTGCAGCCAGAGCATGAAACGCTCAGGCGGTGTGTTTGCCGCTGAGAGAGGCGCGACTGGAGAGGGTTCAGACGGTCGGAGAAAGGGGGGGGGTAGTGATAGGTGCCTAAGGCTCGCCTTAGGTAGTTTCGTTGTTTCTGCAGACGGTATTCGGAAAGTTTTTTGATCATCGTCCTCGT